CCACTTCTCCTTGGAAAAACAGGTTTTGCAATTTCAGTGTAGGGTATCTCAGACATGGTTGAATATTCTTGTGTGAGAAGTATGATGTGTATTAGTTTTTAAAAAAATCTAGTGCCTTGGTGTGTTTGTGTTTATTAGAACAATAAAGTTGTGAGATACAGTAGGCATCTTGTTTTTTTCCCCATATGTAAAAAGGAGATGATGGATGTGTTGATTGCCTACAGTCTGTTGTATCCTTTCTCATGACTATTAACAGAGTTAACTCAATTTTCAAATTTAGACATACTGTAGTTTCAGCACAGTAAGTTGTGCCATGCAGAGTTAGAGAACAAAGAGACAGAGAAACTCTGAGTGTCACATGTGCAGTGAAGGTTTTCTGTGCATCAGTCCTCCAGGTCTGCATGGGATCTCATGAAGCGTAAAATGTATTCTGTCCTTTCATTGACAGCTGTCCTTAATTTACTTGCTTCCTGTACCAGCCACTACACAGAATAAATAAATCGAGCTGTTGCATAATAAACCCCCCTCACACCTATGCATGAACAAAATGCTCCTACCAGTTATAAATTGCACCAGGAGAAACCTTCCTTCTTCTTCTATAGAGAAGTTTTCATGGTCTCTTTGGGCAACTTGTTCCAATGGTTAGTTACCCTCACATTAAACATGTTTTATATCCAGTTGGAACCTCCTGTGTTTCAACTTAGGACCACTATCTCTCATTCTCTTGCCACGTCTGTCTTCCTTCCCCATTACCACTTGTGAGGTGAACTGCCTGACATAACCTGGAACAGCACTGAGGCTGTTTCCCACCTCACTGGCCAAAAAGGTCTCAGTGGATTTCTGCATGTAAGCTTTTCCTTCAGACAGTTGTAGATGTGGTTTGTATGGATAAGATTTTCCCTGGCATAACAGCACAAAAGAACAGATGTACAGACCAGCTTGATTAGATAAAATAGTAAAAGCTTAATTGTCTTCTGTTGGCATATATCAGTAAAATAACCAGCAGCCCTTACGGACAGTCTCGTACAAACTTTTTTTCAGGCAGGCACCATATTTGAGAAGAACTGTAAATTGTCTGTGCTCTCACCTTTGGGACAACCTAATTTTCTGCTTAAAGTAGTTCTTGCCTTCCTCCACGGGAAATACATTAGTAACACGGGTTTTTTTCTCTCATCTTTCACTGTAAGGATGTACTAGTACTGCTATCATAATGTAACCATAAATGAAATGGGGCTAAATGTTTTGTAAGTAGCCCCATGGGCCCAATGCACAGAATTTATGTAGTATTAACATTAAATCCTCGAGAGTCATAGTTCTTTAACTTAGCTATGCAGCCTGTGTTGAAGAATGGCTAAGGGAACAGGGGCACATCTCCCAGAGAGCATTGTGCAAGCAAGAGTTGAGCAAAGGTCTATGGGAGCTTTGAGCATATAACTAAGAAGTAGGCCTCAGGAATTTAGCTTCTCAGCATTAGAAGTTATTTTCTCAGCATAATATTGCAGCCGAAGGACAAGCTATCTGGGAAAACTCAGCAATGTCGCAAGCCCAAGGATGAACTATCCGGGAAAACAAAGAAGGATTCTCCAGAGAATAAAGGAGACTTCTTCACAGCTGCAGCTGCAAGCAGAAATAGTATATAAATGTAACCTTTAGAGCTTAGGTATGCTAAAGTGAATTATAGGCATAGTTGTCCTGCAAGCTAGGAAAGTATATAAATGTAACTTTTAGGGTTTGGGTAATGGTTATGTAATGGTAAAGAGAACAATAAGCATAGTTATTCATGCACTGTATAAGAGAAGGACTGAGCTAACAATGAAGTTGGAACTTGCTTTATCACTCACACTGAGTCGGCCACTTGCTTCCCCGCGCGGAATTTTCCCATCAAGTCTGCTTTCACAGAGCCCAGATCAAGCTCTTAGATTATCAATCAGTCATTTCACTTGAGACCCGAGTTTCTCATGACCTTCTGGTACATGCTTGTGAGCTGAGGAGAATAGCTCTCAATTTGTATGCAATAACAGAGGGTACTGACACTAGGCTGAGGTTTTGGGGTCTGTGTTTTTGGAATTAGGTTGAAGTTTTTTGATGAAGTCTTCTTAAGAATAAAAAAATCATATTTACCACAATTTTAACAGAGAAATCATTGCCTGTGTTGCTAATGCCCATACCCAGACCTTCCTCCTTTCAATCCTTTTGGAGTGTGTAGGTTTCCAGAAGACCAGAAGAAGCAGAAACTGACTATTCTCTATATTTCCTGATTGTCCTTATCAAGGACAAGGTCTGTATGTCTCTGAAAAGATATAGTGGTTCCAACTTGGCCAGAGTTGTTTATATGGTAAACACAGTGAAACATATTACAAAGACAACAACCTTATTTTCATAGCACCTTAAGATGATTTTTACGGTGTTAAAAGTTGAGGTGAAAATGAATGTAATGTGTCAAGTGTGATGAAGAACAGTTCAATTCTCAAACCTGTGTTTTTGAAAAAACCTGCTGAGGCTGTGAAAGCTGTGGTTGCACTGACACGAGCTGAGTGTCTGCATACTGTCCATGCTCTTTCAGAGTAAACAGCCTGGTAGCTGCTGGTGAGAAAATTAGCATGAATCAGTACAACCTGATCCATGGCATCTTCATGTGTATAATCAGTGGAACTTGGTGCTGTTCGGGCAGAATCATTAATTTTGTTTTGGCTTCCTAAAGTTCTGTTGTGGTGGTTTCTAACACAGACATGGGATTGTGAGAGTGAGACCACAAAACCCTTCTGATAATTCAAACAAAATGACAATGATGGCACAAAGGAACCACTCTAACAGAGTGTTATCTCTTGGAGACTCCAGATTTTGGTAGCAATATGGGTAAAAGAAAGTTCCATCCTTGTTCCAGCCAGCAAGAAATATTCTACCCAGCAACACAATTCCTGTGTACATGTATTACCTACTAAAGGTTAGGTATAAGCTTCTGTTTGTAAGGCATTGCTATAACAGTTTACAAGACCTCAGAGAAGTAAAACAGTTTTTGTTTCTGTTAGCTATCTCAGCCTGTGACTCCTTCTGTCCTTAGGCAGTCAAATAACCTCCCTGGCTCCATGTGCTCATTATGGAAGGACCCAGAGGATTTGTCTCATCAGTCATCTGCAGAGAGTTAAATCAGGACATCAGGCCAAGTTAGGGAGATAATTGTGGCATTTCATTCCATTTCTAAAATTTTATTTGTTTTAGAAGAGTGAGTGTCTGCTCTTGGGGCTGTACAGCGGAGTTACTTCTCATGGGCCTTTCATGCCAATGCCTTATATCCTCACAATTTCAAAATAGAGAGCTATGTAATATTTTCAGCTAATGGGTTTTCTTGAAAAGTGTAAAAATACTTGAAAAGTGTGTGCAACATTTTTGGCTGGGTTCTCAGAGACTGAACTGCCAGGGCCTACTCTGAATTCCATGTCATCACTATTATCTGTTCTTCTTGGGGTTTTCATCCTTTTCATATCCATTAAACAACTTAAATTAAAATAAATCCATTTGTTGATCCCATTATGCATGGCCTACATCAGAGTCCTTGGATTTGTTTATAGAATGAAAGGACATTTTTGTTCCTTTTTAGTGTGTTTCAAGAGCAATGTGTTTGCATCTTTTTTGAACATATTTACTTACACATATCACAAAGAAATTTCCTATCAGTAAATTGCTCTGGGTCCTCATGACAAATAAGTGATAATCTGGAAAAGCAGGAAGATGTTTTCTTGAAATAGTTGTTTTTATCACTTTTGTTTGGTGGTTTGCTGCTAAAAAAAAAAAAAATCACATGCAGAGCTGTATGGCTTTATAGTAGCTGTATGAGGGTATTTTCAGTGTTTGACCAGCTGAGACTGAAATCCAATTGAATCCCATTAGCTTGTGTTACGTGTCCCTTGGGACCAGACAGTTTTGTCTTATAGTTTTGGCAATAGAAATTATTAATCTATGTATCATGAAGTGCTGTTGCCTGGAAATTAAAAATAAAAAAGATAAAATTTAAATAATAGAAAAATAGAAATTAAAAAAGGATATGTCTTAAGCATTTGCAGTCTTCAAGTGTTTTTAAAATTTCTTCCATTAGAAATTCTGAAATTCAATTAAACTCCTTACTATTTGTAATCCCAGTTAGTATTTCCAAGCTAGTGGATGCCTTTGCAATGAATTTTTCTGTGTAGTACAGTTGGTTTCAGGGGTTTAGAGAACAATGTAAAATTTAAAAAAATCCATCGCAAATGTCATTGTATTTCAGCAATTGGTTAGAATCAAGAAGTCTTCTTTTTTCTCTTTTGGTAGTCCCTTTTTAGTAATTATTGAACTGGTTGATGTATCAGTTGGGAGAGGTTATTTTCCTTCAGTATTAGTGCAACTTAAAAATTTCTTACTGAGAAATTCAATCTCTGGATTTCTTTACAAACAAAAGGGATGGTTATAATACTTTCCTTGGCTCAGTCTAAAGGTCAAAATTAGCAAGTTTTAAAGAAGAACTACAGAGGCATACAGCACAGCCTTTGTAGTAAGCAAAAATGAGAAAATAGTGCTGAACTAGTGGATGTCATGGAGTATCTAATTTATAGCTATAACTCAGTATCTGTGATGGCAGAAGCACAGTTTGCATGAGGTTGAAATTGGGGTAAGAATGCAGAGAGCCAGCAGGTCAGTAAGGAAATAAAGAATTGTGGCTTGGGGCCAGCAGCCACATCCTATTGTAAGGGCAGCCCTTAACCATATTTTCACTATTATAACAACTGTGAAACTCAAGTTGGTTTTGTTGTTGGGATCTTGGCTTTGTTTTGCAACTGCGTGGTTTCAACCAAATAATAATGTTCAAATACTTTTTTTGTGTGTTTGTGTTTTTTAGCTGTAGGCCTCAGGATATGAACCTACTTTTAACTGATGGGCAATGATGTCATCCCTTATTTCCATAGAAAACTCTGATCTAAGCTCCCTGCATTTCATGGGCTGATGTTCTTTTTCTCTTTCTGTTTCAGGGTCTTTATGTCTTTGTGGTTTATTTTATCCTGCACAACCAACTTTGCTGTCCTGTGAAAGCAAGTTATACTGTAGACATGAATGGCCATACAACTCCAGGATCAGCATTTTTCACACATGGCAGTGGTCTACCAGCTGCAGGTGGAGAGATCAGCAAGTCCACGCAGAACCTCATCAGTGCTATGGAAGAGGTAACAGTGCTCTGTAGTGCTCTGTAGTCATTAATTAACTGTATTGAAAAGGTTCCTGGAGATTTAAATGGCAGTTCTGAAATATAATACACAGGAATGAAATGCTTAGTATTATAAGTTGGCTTTGGGGAGGGGGGAGGTTTTTTTGTTTTTCTTTTTTTTTAAACAACAAAAATTGTTTACTTTATCCATAGTTATATTCTTGTAACTTGCCGTTCCCTGGTAACATCCCATCTATAGAATTTCCCCTTTTCTGCTTGAGTCTTCAGTTGGTTATAGAGGCTGTCAAAAATTGTCAAAAATAAGTAATGAGAAATCAAAATATCAGGTTAATTCTTTCTGCTTACTATAGACCTTAGATTAGTTTTAAGATATTAATTTTTCAAACTTACGCTGTTCAAAATTTTTGGAAATTGTAATAGAATAGAATAAAATTGTAATGGAATCATACAGAATGGAGTAGAATAGAAGTTTTGAGGGAGATTATTTTCAATCTCTTTGTTGCTGGAACTAGAATGCTTCTAGTAATACTTTTCACCCCCTGTAATAAACCGAAGTGTTTTTTATTGCTATGTACATGCACATGTTGATAGAGATAATTGAAAATTTCCAGCTAAACAGTTTGTTTGAGGAAAAACACAGATTTAATGGATTTGATATATTTCAGGGGAATATGTCGGTTCTAGCAATAATTTTTGTGGAAACCAAGTTGCTCACCTGGCAGCTGTTTTTCCTCTTTTTTTCTACTTGCTAGACTGTAGGTTTGTCTGGATTTTAAAGCTCCTCAACTGTCCACTAAATTTCTTGAACCTCTTTCTGGTTTAGAGAACAGCACAGCTTCTCAGCTCTGCATGGCAAGATTTTATGTTCCTGAGTGTCTAAACAGTAGATGAGGAATGAACCAAGCAAATATATTTTGATTGTCCTAAAATTTATTTTTTACTAGGGTTCAATGTTTTGTATTTTCATCAAATATTAAGGAGCAGATAAATTTGCAAAACCACCTTTTTTCTCATTAACTGAAATTCTTATATTTTGTGCAGCTCCACCTTAAACTGTCTATAGGAAAGTTGATATTGAAACTGTAGGGCTGTATATCATCACCAAAACCTCCAAAGACTGGCAAATTACTTTAAAATACTCTATTGATAAACATGGACAGTGGCAGGTTGCCAGCTGTAGATCATATAATGACAATTAATAATGATTAGTTGCTGCAGAATGGAGAGGCAGGGACTAGCAGAGGAAAAGGCATGGGTAAGAGAAGAGTAAGCTGAAACCTTTCAGTGCTTTGAAGTTCTACACAATGGGGGTCAGAAATAGCAATATTTTAAAAGATTTTTGCTATATCTAGTAGAAGCATGATAAACACAAAATTAAGTGGCTTGTGATTGCATTACATGTATGTGTGTGTTTGCATATATATATATATATATACACACATAATTTATTAAGAACGAAAAATACACTCTCTGGTTCACTATAGAATTGAAAGAATAATTGGTTCAAGAATCTCTTAACCTTCAATTCAGCTCTGGTCATAGTTTCCAGCTTCTATGCTATAGTTTTGTTTTGATGATTACTGCATTTCTATGTCTTTCTAAACTCTGCAGGTGCCTGCAGACTGGGAGAGGGCATCCTTACAACCTGCTAGTCAAGCTAGTGCTGCCTTTAAGCAGAGTCCACAAAATGGCAATGTTTTTCACACTTCTGGAGGATTTAGTACCAGCTCATTGGTTGCTGATGAGGAATCACAGGAGTTTGATGACCTAATATTTGCATTAAAGACTGGTGAGTGACTTTTCTCCTTGCCCCTCAAAGGTTGTTTTGTTGTTAGTCACCCTAACAGTGTCACCATTCCATGAGATCCAGCTAATGAGATGTATTATAATAATCTGATTTCCACTGAAAATCTTAAGTCAACATGGGAATATCTGATAAGACAGAGAAAAAGAAGTGCTACCTGATTAGATCTGGCAGACACTAACCCAAGCCCACTTTCACTAGGCACCAGATGAAGTACAAATCAAGTAGCTTGGTTGCAGGAGGTCACCTGAATGATTTTTGAGGATACCATTAACCCTTGCAAGAGACAACAGCAAGGTCTTGGTGACATTAGGAGGTTAAGTGATCTGGCACCCATAATTTCAGCAGCTTGTCCCCTTCAGTGTTATCAAGGAAAAGCCAAATTGGATGGAAGACTGGGAATGCTGCTAATAAAGGGGTATTTTTATTCCATATGTTCATAATGCTCTATCTCCAGAACCAATTCACACTGCAGAAAACTCCTCTAGTTATGGAGCCTACAGTATAAGAAGCTCATGAAGTGATGGGCATGAAGATGCTTGGAGGGCTGAAGCACCTCTGCTAATAGGAAAGGCTGAGACAATTGGGGTTGTCAGCCTGGAGAAGAGAAAGTTCTGAGGAGACCTTAGAGCTCCTTCCAATGCCTAAAAGGGTTACAAGAGAGCTGCAGAGGGACTTCTCAAGGGTGTAGAGTGACAGGACAAGGGAGAATGGCTTTCAAATGAAAGAGAGAATGTTTAGATCATATATCAGGAACAAATTCTTCCCTGTGAGGATAGTGAGGCCCTGGCGCACATTACCCAGAGAAGCTGTGGATGCCCCATCCCTGGAAGTGTCCAAGGCCAGGTTGGATGGGGCTGCGAGCAACCTGGTCTAGTGAAAAGTGTCCCTGTGTGTGACAGGGGGTTGGAAATAGGTGGTTTTAAGATTCCTTCCAACACAAATCATTCTACGATTCTACGAAAATCTGTTTTGTACCTAGTAATTTTCCCAGATATTTTAAAGACTGTTTCTAGTCTGTTAGCATTAAAAGATTTTTTGGTAAGACTTTCAAATCTAGATGCAGAATCTTACAGTTGCAAACCTTTATTTTAGATATGTAAGAAAGTAGCTTTTACTTTTTTATTCCTTCCGGAATGATTTGAAGAAAACCAGCTAATTCATAGATAGTTCATGAAACACAAAATGTTCCACATCTAATACTCCCACCATCACATACAGTGTTCACTGCTTAAGTAAATCAGTTGGCATCAGTAAACTGCAGAAGACTGAGTCTTAAGAACAATCTAGGCAACAGCAGTAGTTATAGAATCATAGAATTTAAGGGTTGGAATAGACCTTACAGATCATCTAGTCCCAACCCCCCCTGCCATGGGCAGGGACACCTCTTCATTAGAACATCTAAAAGAAGTCTGTCTTTCCCTGTCAGATGCACTGTGTATGGTCAGATATTGCACGAATACAACCTCACATCATGTGCTGAGACTAAAGAAAACAGCTGAAGAAACACCTGAACAATCTGGGCTCTGGAGGGTTTATTTGTTCTAATTTTGGTGTTAAGTTAAACTGTGAAAATGGACTTTACAGCTACTGCTCCTAAGAAACAGACTTGAGCACTGGGTTCAGCAACAGGGAGTTGCACAGATGGATACAACCTCTTTGATTTCAACATTAAATAGCATATTTATCACATCTTCACTTAAGTTTATTTTCTCTTTTCAGACAGCATTCCTTCTGAACACTCTTTTCGTGTACGAAAACTGATCTCTCAATGCCTTTTGTTTGGCCTGAAACATTGAATAAATTGGTTAACTCTTGAAACTGCTAATTGAAACTAACTGAAATTTTGAATTTTGTTTTTTTTCTGCTTCACCAAGATTTTCCATCAGCACTTTGAGAAAGATATTCAAATCCTCTTGACTTAACACAACTTTGAAAATTGTAGATCACAGTTCTCAGGAAAAAGCATTGTTCCTGAAACTTATCACTTGCGAACAAAGCAGAACAACATTTCCTGGCAAGAAGAGTGTTGATTTAAAGGTGTTTTGTCAGCAGAATCATCCCTTGAATAACACAATTAAATTCCTTCAACCACTCCTTGTTAAAGCCTTAGGCCATTAGAGGTTATGACTCCCAAAGTGTATCAGTACACATTGCAGCCTTTATTTAACCTACCTATGCTTTTATGACTTTCCTGGCAATGACTTACTACTACATGAAATTTCAATTCCTTTTGCACCCAAAGTGACCTGTTACTGCATAGTACGTAAAACGCCACAGAACACATCTACTTTGAGGCCATTCAAGGGTGATGGAAAGGGATGGAGCTGGAGTAAAGGCAAATACTTCATAAATTTAAATTCTGCTCAAGAAGATTCCATTTTTAAAGAAAAAACCTCTTTTATATATATATAGGTTCAATCCTGTTACATTGCTGAAACTCACTCCACGCCTACTAGGAATTTGCAGCTTGTTGCCCCTTTATGTCCTGAAATAACATGAGGGTTGGTTAATCTCACATGAAGTATTATCCCAAGCTTCTCAGCACCTTCTCACAAGACTTGCATTCATTGTATCCAGGCGTCCTGTGACTCCAGTTCAGGTACCTTGTGGAACCAAAGCTGCAGAGAGATTGTGTTTCACACACAGCCTGGAATCAATAGGGTGAGGGATCTCAATATCTACATGTGACAAATCTGTCCCCTTAGTGCTTCTCGACAGTTTCAGCTCTTATAATATAATTCAACACAATTTCAGCATTTAATTATTTTTTCCTAACTCGTTAAGTTCCATCCCTACTTAATTTGTTTCCAGTCCTTTCAAAAAAAAAGTAGACCTAGAACCAACTTTTGATTATCTTGCCTAAGTTTAATTATTGACTTCTTTATTAATATTTTATTAGCATTTGTTCTTGTGTGCCTTTTCTATTAATGTGATTTGAAGCAGAGATCTTGGGCCACAGTTGGAGCAAAACGTTTTTGTTTGTGTCACTGATTCAAGTAGCGCCTGGCCATTTTACCCCAAAGCTCATTCCTGTGCCCAGACTGTGTCCCCAGCAACATTACAGGACTAAAGAGACCATGATTTCTAATCCAAACCAGTTGTCCCATATGATTTCAGCCCCACACACATTTGAAAAGGAAAACTGAAGAGGTGGTGTGGAGGTTAGAGCAGCTTTGACCACCAAACTAAATGTTTATCAGCTATTGTCTTTGATACAAGCTCTAGCTCAAGATATACTTCTAACAACAAAAAAAAACAAAAAAACAAAAAAAAAACAAAAACAAAAATCCAACAAAAAAAGTGAGTTTTTCTGTAACTAAAAGTCTATTTTATTATTTTCATCCTGACCTGTTGTCCAGTCCCCTTCAGTGTGTGGCCAAGGAGAGGAAGGTGGGGAACCACGTGGAAGAAAGAAAGAAAGATATGAGGTGGTGGGGTTTTTCTCTGTTTGGAAATATGGGCTCAGGCTACTAAAGTATTCACCAAACTGTGGTCTGACTGGAGTTTTATGTTACCGTTAAACTAGCAGACACTAGAAGGAGCTTGGCTTTTGATATCTCTACAGCATATTTCTTCTGTTGCATCATTTCTCGTGCTCACATGAAGGCACAAGAACTCAGATTAGAGATTCCCTCTTCCTCTTCTTCCTCTCCCCCTCATTCTCCCTCTTCCCTTGCCACTCCACATCATTTTGATACCCTTTGAGTATCCGTCCTGACTCCAGGGAAACATGGTCATCGGCAATTGGAAGATGAACACCTCTTCTCTAAAGAGGCTGAAGTGTATGGGCTGCTGAGATGCCTTTTTGCTGCACTGCTCTTGCTTGACATTTCCTGTGTGAGTTGCTTCAGAAACCTTTTTATCCCAGACTTTATTTCAGTATGCTGAGAATTCCTCATCTCAAGCAGGTTCTCTGGGAGAGCAGGGAGAAAGTGCTTTTCTCCACACTAGCTAGTTTTACACCTCCTGAACTGGGGGGTGTGGCTCTCGGGTAGAGAGGAAGATTCAAAATTCTTGATCTGCTATTGTTTGAGCTTTACCTGTGATAAACTGAGTCAGAAACATCCATTATCTCTGTTCCCTAAAACTGTCAATGTGTAACCAAACAGCCTTAGCTGTGCTAAAATATCATCTCCTACTCTGAAGGTTTGCTGAGGATCCACAGTGATTAGCAGAGAAATATGCAAAAATGTCTTTATGGCCCTTTGTGCTTAATGTGTCTTTACTGCTGATGTAGTTCTGAGCTGTCTGCCTTTAACTTACACTCACTATCTGTAGCCACAAGGTTTAACCTGGCAGCCAGATCAGTGGGAATAGGGTCACGGCAAAGTTAAAATTTCATTCCTGCCCTCCTGCCTCTGCAGCTGGCCACTCTCAGCTATAGAAATGAAGACAGGTTAAAAAAGATCAACAAAACCCCCACAGCAAAACCTTCTTCTTTAACTTGTCACAGTTTAGTAATTTGCAGTGTGCAGTGCAGCTCTGCAAATAGAAGCACTAGTACACTCAGCCTTATTGCTAAAGGAATGTGTCACAGAAATGTGCACTTAGCCCTTGGTTCCACAGTCATTACTGCTGGACCTAACTACAGATTAACCCAAAACACAGACTGGGTCAGGTGGAAGCATACAACTGCAGTTCTATCAAATCAAGTGGACAGCAATGTACTGTTTCTTAGCCAGCCTTTATGCTAGCTTTAGGCAAGCATCACATGGCTACAGGATTTTTCTGTTTGGTGTAGGAAACCCAAAAGCTGGGCTTCTTATATCATAGAGCCATTGTCTCTGAATGCCTTATGAATTAATTCCTCCTTGCCATCAAATATGTTCATGTACATACAGAAATATATTTCATATTCACTCTGCTTGCTATATCACCTCATTTCTTACATTTTGGAAATCTTTTGAAAAGACAGCCAGCTCCAAGGCATCTTATGTGAAGGGAATTATAGAACGATTATTGTAGGAAAATTAATTTAAGGGCATGTACTGCTCATTGATCTGTTTTAAAACCTTTTTTATTAATGCTTATAAATTTGTGTTAATTCATTTATTATATTTTATTTATGGCTTTATAGTGATTCAAGCCGCTTCTACTGAGAAAGTTATTTTCATACTGGTTTTTGTTAATTGCACTAATTAACTTGAAAGTGCTGTTATTTTGGACTAGATCTCATTTTCCCTCTGATTTCTTGTTCAAAATGTATATTGTTTGGCAATTTAATAAAGCCATTTCCTTCTGGTTTGTGACGAAGTCATATGTTACTGCCATTAAAGATAAAGCCTAATATACCAGAATTCCCCAAGGACTTCTACTCTGGCTAGGGCTGTGGAGGTAAAAAGGAGCCAGCAGAATAAAAGTAGATGGAATCTGCCCCAAAAGTAGCAAGCGGCTCATAAGCATTCCTCTATAGCATAAATACCTTAAATGCATGATAGCTTTACTGATTTCTGAGCTTCCATCCATACAAATGCTCCTGTTCTCCCCCCTTCTGTGATGCACAAAACCAAAAAAATTCACTCCTTTGGGGGTGATATGAATGCAAAACAGAGCAAATACTTTGGGAGAGTCTCCAACCCCTCCAGTGGTGACTGTTGACCTACCATGCTGCTTTCCAAATATATATTTAGCAGTGTCAATGGAGGTCACTGCTACATCCATATCTTAGTGTATTTTTACTCTTAATAGAGACCATTGTGATAAATACCTCATAAATATTCTAATATTTATCTAATACTACATAAATGTTGCAATAATTGTCTAGCATGGAGAATATCTGGAAGAATCTACTGAATAAGTTAAAAATCCCACACAAATATGTCTATTACAGTAGTGATGTTATATAAAATAATTCTAGTTTTAAATCTAATACAGCTAGGGTTCCAAAGTCAGCATTTTATAAACTGTGGTGTCACCACTGTAGGTGGCTGGTTTAAGAATCAAGCATCTTGTGTGGCCATCCTGAACTAAAGGAATCATTTGAAATCTCAGTTCTGAAAGGTGTTCATTGTAGCATCCTGGAAACTGTCTGTCACACGGCAGATAGATTGTAGATAGTGGCAAAGTGCCAGATTCGTGCCCTGCCTTATCAGACTACATCATTTCTGTTTTGAAGGACTCACTTCACAAGACTAAAAAAAAAAAAGAAAGGGTAACCAGTGTGCATATTCATTCAGCTTCTCACTTGTGGTCCTCACACGTATGCTACCTAGTGGCTGTTGAATGTGACTGCATTATACCCAGGAAGCATTTTTGATTGTCTGAACTTTCTTCATAAATGTCTGGATGTCTGTTGATGTCATTTCTGTGAAATCAAAACCCTGAAGGAAGAATTAAAGTTGGTTTGTGTAGCTTATTCATATACATCTCACAGGTATAACATAAATCATGTTTGATTCAGAAACCACGATAGAAGTGCTTGAGAGATAAAAAGTCTCCCCACAGACATGAGTATAGGAATTACAAAACAAACTCTGGCTCCTTTAAAAAGTTTTAGTGAAAGCCTGAGCTATCTCTGACCAAGCAGATAACAGCTGGTGTTAGGGCACTGATGGAACCCTTCACCACCAGATGTCAGTGAAGGGACTGCTTTGGGTTTTCAACTTGCACTGTGACTTTTCAGCTAGTTTTTCGGTACAAAAAGAAAGGAAGAAAGGCTTCAGTTTTCTGTCTATTTTTCTTAAAATAATTCCTTCACAAATTGAGGTAAAGTAGTACTGCCTGCTATGTACCTACCACCTGACTCTAGCATCTCAGGGGGAGTGTATGCTTTTTGGGACCTGGTTGAGTTTAAATTCCACTCTAATCTGAGAACATGATGGACAAATGAGCTCTGTGAAACTTCATTGTGCAAACAGTTGTAGCCTTTCCAGTCTGCCGACTCCTGGGTAAGCTGGTATCTTGGTTACATTTCAGCTCTTATTTGTAGAAAGGATCGGTTCTAACATAGTTTGTCTTTGCATCGTCAGCAGAACAAAGGATGTAAAGCCAAAGTACCCTACTTCAGTCTATGTCTTACCAAGTTCCTGATAAGAACCCTTGTAACAAAAAAGTTCTCTTACTTTGCACTGGGCATGCATAAAGCTTGCACTTACATGACATTTAAGAATATACATAATGTAAAACCATACTAGATGGTCTTTCTATAGGGGCCAGCAAAAGATTCTTTAAGAAACCCTGTACTGAATGATTACAGCCACTGGTCAGACAAATATCTTTCTAACAGTCAGTGTTCACCTTAAAATCTTAACCCAACATGATCATACTTATGATTTTAAATGCTTTTAAATAGTGGAGTTTTTTCAGGGTTTTAAATTTGTATGCCCTTCAGCCTGACCTAAGAAGTATTCTGCTACATAAGAAGTATTGTATTGTTTCTTCTTTCTAAGTATTTTATTTGCTTCATGTTTTTTAACTTGTTCTTCCATCCCCACATTGTAAATACAGTAGTTTTATTTATCTTCTCTACTACACTCATGTTTCTGTTCTAAAACAGTTTTAGAGAAAATAAGGAAAAAACCAAAATAACACACTTAAGCAATTGCTGTTTTTCCCAGGGCTTTCAAGAAGCTTTTGGTTATTAGGATCTGATTCAATGAAAAGTTTAAATGTACATAAAATTTTAAATCAATAGTATGGCTTGATCATTTTCAATACACTTATAAACAAGTATTTTAGTGATTCAGAGACTAATCTTCTTGACTTTGTTACTGTGTCTCTGTATGTTGATGGATTTTTACTTCTATCATAGTCTGACAGTAACTTCTGTTTTCTCAAGAGTTTGGGTCATGCAGTCCTAAGAACAGATCTCATCAATGTCAGTTGATGTCTATACATGGTCCAAACACCAAAACCATGTGTAAGAAGGACCACAGTGCAGAATACCCACTTTTCACCTGGATCATAGGGCATGGGCTCAAGTTTGACCCCTATCAGGACTTCATCCTGACCTTACAGGAACACCTTCTAGGCCTATAGGTTCTTCTGCCCAGGTTCTCTGTACCAAGTTCCATATTCTAGATTGCAGCCTGACTTCCAGCAACGAAGCAACTGCTCCCTTTTCAGTAGTTCTTTTCTGCGTGTGGGGTGGTGAGAAGAAGGGTGCTATAGGAAAACTTTGCAAGAGTGGAACAATAGAGAGAAAAAAAAAAGGTGAAGTAAATAACCCTTATCTTGTCAAACTAGCCAAAAACTGGAATGTCAGCTGTGGTAGAAATAAGTGATGATAAAGGCCTGATAAAAACTCTTTAAAATATTTTGCAATATGAAATGCATATCACTGCCTCTCCCAGCATGCCATTCAGGGCTGTTTTGATCCAAATGTTATTCCTTTGCAGCTTCCTTGAACTGCATGTAGTTACAAATCTGCTTCTGCCCAAAACAAATAGCTTCCCTGATTGTAAGTAACATTGTTGTAAGATCATGCCTGAAATGAATGTCTTGAAGTCATCATGCCTCATAATACTGATATGCAGTTCTCAACAAATTTGAAGCTTAGACACCCTAAACCCTAACAATACCCATGTATTTTGTAGAATTTTCTCTACAGCTCAAAGGGAGGAGCTGAAAAAGCACTGAATTTTATAGTTCCAACTAATATTCTGTGAAAAAATTATCAGAAAATAATATATTTCATGAAAACTAGTGCAAGATTATATATATTCACACTAATCAACTCAAACCTCCCCTCCAAAAAAAACCCAAACAAACCCCCCATAAAACAAATAGGAAGCAATAAGGTAACAGAACTCCTGTGACAAAAGGATGGACAAGGTGGCCTCTTGAGATCTCTTCCAGACATGTTTTGGAAGTTCCCATGGACCAACAACTAGTATTCTCTCACAGTAGAAGAAGAACACAATGCAGCAGTTTGTGCCAAATGTGGATTTAAAGAATATTTGGTCATCATCTTTTCTCATGTTGACATTACAGTGCTATTAAAACAGCTGGAATTATAGTTTAACAGGGAAATTGTGTCATTAAAAATCAATTCTTCATGAAGAAGTCCTTGGAAATACCAGAGTGTTACAGCCAGACCATGAACCCAGCCCAAGCCAGGCCTTGATTTATGCTCTTCTGATTACAAGACAACCCCTATTGTACCATTTACTGGGACAAACAAAGTGACTGACAGTGGAATTATGAAAAAGTGGATCTGCATGATACAAAACTACCAAACTATATAAGATAATATCATCTGTGCATTCAGAATGGTAGACTAGGAAGAGGAAATTTGCCATGTGTCTGTGGGGTAAGGAAGCATTTCAATAGTCAGAATAAAGCAGACAGGATATAGTATTCCCATTTATGTGTCAGGATTTCTTTCTTGCTAATCCTTCTTTTTGTCATTTTTCTCTATTTCAGGTGCAGGTCTCAGCATCAGTGATAACGAGTCTTGTCATGGCAGTCAGGACGGTGGCAGCATGGCTAACTCCCAGATCGTAGAGCTTAGAAGAATACCCATAGCAGACACTCACCTCTAACTCCACAATGTGCTTGGTTTTTTTCTGGGGTTTTTATTATTATTATTCAAGCCTCAGTATTTTTATATTTGTACTTCCTTTTGCACTAAAACACTACATATAACTGTAGTAGAATGCTGTGGGCTTTACTGAAGGTTTGACAAGGAATGTTTGCTTGAGGTTTTGTATATCAGAAAACAAGCTAACTTTTTTTCAGTGGCTGAGCATCAGTAAATACCATGATGATCAGCCTAGATTTGTATCTTGTACGTAGATGATACATTTCACAAACTCTTGCTTTTTCTTATTAACCTGTACGTGTAACACTGATTAATAAAAGCAATAGAGTCTGTTTGATACAAACCAGTCTGTTATTTCTGCTTACTGCTTTTGAAGATGGAAGGTGATGCAGACACCCTGTTGGACAGGAAAGATTTCTAGTTTTACAGTTGTTCTAAGTTTCTTAAGCTGTAATATTGTCACTATTAATTTTTGAGTACCCAAATCTGTGAACTTTACAAGACATAAGTCTTGAGCCAGAGAGCTTGAAGTTTAAATTGTGACATGATGAAATAAGCAATGATCTGAAATACACAGAAGGAAGGGGATAGGAAGGACAAGACTGAAACCACTGGCAGCTGCATGCTGTCAACTGCTTTACCTTGCTGGTTTCAATATTAAACTCTTTCACTCTGCTCACAGAAGTAAGGGGGAATTCCAATGTTGAATTTTCTCTTAAACTCCATATGTGCCATGCAGATATCCCTGTTCTGATTGAAGGGTTCAAGTGTTGCATTACAAACAGAGCTAGACCAGTTATGTGAGGTCATAAATGAGCAAGAAAAGTTCCTCACTTGGAATTAAAAAAATAACAGAGGAAGTATTTCAGAACTTATAGGGGAGGCAGGCTGATCTTGCAGGAATCATTAACTCTGCTTGTGCACACACACTCTGGAAGAAAAACACATTAAAGCAGTAGACTAAGGGAATTTTCCTCTGAACATTTCTGAATGTAGTATAGATATAAAGTAAATGAGAATGCAAGCCTTTCATACCTACTCAGGAACTTACCTTAGGGCTTTAAAGTGGGCAAGCTCTGAGCAATGACCCCTCCCTTTAAAAGAAAACTTTTCTTATGGAAATCTTTCTGTGAATTTTGCTAGAGCGGTATGCAAATTTTACTCCATGCAGTTACTTGTTGAGCTAAAAAACTCAAAACAAAACAAATTAATCCCACTTCTGTGTGCCTGTTCTGTAATAGCTGATAGGACTGCACAGCTTATAGTCATGACTTGTGTCTGAGACAGACATCAAATTTAAGGCCTAATGCTGCAAAAACCTTCACAGACACAGGAAAATATTTCTAGTCAGTCAAGCCCTTAAAGAAGTGCTTTTTAAGTACACATTTGAACTGGGAAATGATAGTATGTCTATATATAATTAGTACATGATCTGCTGCATTGAGTCTTAAATTTCTGACTCCCAGGAATTTTGTTGACTCCATAGTATGGAGTCAACAATGCCAAGTCATTATGATAAATGGCAACACTTACCACAACCTGTGGGGTTGAAGGTGGTGGTAGTGGGTAAATGAGCCTTTCTTCACTGTGGACAATATGCAGAAGTACATGGTAGTCAGGAAGACCCTGTGCAGAAGTGGGCAGCCTTCAAAATTGGGTGTAGTGCGTTGGAATCCATATAGAGATGCATATAAAAAGTGGGCAACTTTTATGCAAGAGTGAACCACTTCAGCAAATTTTATAATTCACTTTTCTGCCTATACCTATACCTGATGAAAGGGGACTTGAGAGAACTGCAAGTGTCCTCAAAATAAGTCACTCAGTCTGTAGTTGAAGTCTGTAGTACTGTTTTTGTTTTCTACACAGAAAACCTGGCTTATTCTTCCTGAATAAACCAAGATGAGCACTGTTATTGCTGATCCTTCTCATCTATCCACTAAAGCCCTAGTGTGAAGCCTGGCCCTGCAGAATGCTTATGACACTTGCTTGGTTGAGAGCGAGTCAGGACTATAACAGCTCTTTCGTTACTCACAGTACATGCTACTACATGCTGTGAGAAAGGTTACAAAAGAGGATGTTTGTTTGATTTGACTCACCATCATAAGTGTTAATACTGTACGTCACTTTGACTTGTTGCTTAACCACTGGCCCTGTTAAGGGATTTACTGAAAATGCATCAGCATTTTCAAATCAGATCAGTAGGATGTAATCTGCTACCAGCATTTGCTGAATTTTAAATCTCTAAGTAGTACTCAGTCGTCTAAGGTCATGAAATGAATTTTGTTATTGTTCTAGAACCAATCCTTCTTTAACAGAAAATGTTCTGTCTGTAGGAAATTCAGTGTTTTAATAGCATAAGCCTCTCTCTCAACTCCTTTTTGATGTTCCTTGGACAGGCAATGATTGAGACAGGAGGAGGGCATCAGTGTGCTCTGACTCAGGTGCACTGACAGCCACACCTGGGCAGGAATAGTACCTTTACACTTGGTGTGACATAACCCAACCAGACTGAATGCCTCCTGTGCCTCCTTGATGTCAGGTATTATTTAAAATTTGATTGACATGATGAAAATTTTTGTTTCTACGAGGTGAAATAATCTACAGCTCTCAAACCAACTGTTACAAAACAGCCTGCTATGCTGACTGATTCATACAACCATTTGCTTTGCTACTGTATGGGGAAGAACACCAGGACACTTGTTGTGTTTTCTTTTTTTTTCCCTGTTGTTGGGGCCTGGCTAGCAGAGGAGCTGTAACCTGAAGAACAGTTAAAGGAATGCTTAAGAAATTAAAAACAAGACACACAAAGTAGGTCTTGCTGACCTTGTTTCTCTCTTCACACATTCCTGTGTCTTCAATCCATCACTTTATAATGGTCTTGTTTTCTCCTACTGTCAGGGTTTTTAGGTTTGGTTTTTAGTTTTACTGTCTTATAGATAAGTTGTTTTGCTAACAAGCTAGAATAATGCTATTATTTAAGTTCTCATAGACACTATGTAGTTCTTGCTATCAGTTTCCCAGGATGTGAGAGTGGGATGCAGCTTAAAATTGTAACCTATCATAAGAATCGTACGCATTGACAAGTGGAGCAACCAATCCAAGTTGTGTGATTAGTGTGTAGCTGCATGTACAGGAGACTTTATACTATAAATACTTTTAGGTGCCCTAAATAAAGTTGGCTATCAGAGCATCATATTGGTGTGCTGTAGTCCGTCCCTCGCAAGGACCCCAACACCTGTGAAAGACATAAGTTCCCAACAAGATTCCATTTTTTCTGTTTCGAAGGGTAGAAGGAGGTGTAGTTAATATT